GCTAAGAAGATGTTGAGCTCCATCTTGCCAACCACCACAAAAATGGGGTGGGGTGGGGGTTAAAGGCAGCAAAGCCCTCAGAAACCCTTGTGAGTACTTTTTATTTTTAAGTATGCCTTTCCAGGAAGTATAATCCATTAGAAATCTGACCAGAAATGGGGCAGGAGAGACTTAGGCCCACCACCCTCCAAGAAATGGGATGGGCTAGCCTTTCACATTACAGGAAACAGGAGCAGGATTGAACCCTGCCAACACCACATCTCGTGTTTCATTCTTCGTTACTTCTTAGACCTAATTAAATTGTATTTGATATGCATGCAAAAAGTAGAAATTTGTTTTCGGGGGGACGACCTGCATTTGAAACCCGGCTGAAATCAAACAAAGGAAGATTTCACACCAAGACATCTCTGCTTCCGAAGAGATACTGGCTCATTCACCCGTTAATGCGCTTTGCCCCCCCCCCAAATATCCACATAATAAAAGGTACACTGAAATAAAAACTTTATGAACTGCAAAAAGATATAAAAGACTTATGTTCTGGAACTTATAGAAATTGCCACTTTTCCTTCATTGAAGTCTTAATAATGTTGTAGAATTAATCTCCTTTTAAAGTTTTGGTGCTGTACAATTCTAACGCTGCAAAGCACCTAAGGGGACATTTTGAAGGTCAAGGCAGAATAAAATAGTGTTATAAATAAATGTGCATTTTTCTTAGATTGGGCACAATGAAATCAAGCTGCAATTTATTTTCAGATTCGTTGTGTTAAAGGTCGATGGGTTTTTTTTAAAAAAAATGTGTAAATTCTAAATATATATATATATGCCAATTATTTTTATTGATTTTCCATAATGTTTAACAAATTGTCACCAAATTAATACAAATTTAAAAGCTGACTCCCCCCTCCCCCCGATGCCCCCTCTATTTTCCTCCCTCCTTTGCTGCTTCCAATAAAATAACTTTTTCCAACTATCATTCCAAAATACTTTCATCCCTTCTCCCTACACATCACCTGTTCAGTTACCAATTCCTGCTATGGCTTTTATACATTACTATAACCTGTCCTCAAAATAGTCAAGTAGAGTAAATCCTCTTTCATCTTTCTATAATAGTCGTCCGTCAGTTCTGAAACGTTTCCTTCTGATACCACTTGAGGAACACTTTGCCTGAGAAAAGCAGATCTCGCTTCCTACCAGACAACGTACACACATTCCTCCCTAACATGGCCTTGAACATTGCTGTCTGGCATCAAGCGGCGGAGTGTAGGCCCGCACTGCCCGGGGCGGGTGCGCAGAGTGCACCCCCAAGGAGGGCAAGGGGCAGGGGGCACCCTGTTGGGTACCACAGTCCAGGGGAGGAGAGGGGCGGAGAAGCTGCCATCCCATCTCATCCTGCTCTCTGTTGCCCCATCAAGTCTTACCCGGTGGCAGAAAAATGCTACGCCTCTGCTGACGTCTGGCCCCAGTCATAAGCAACTCAGCCTCACTGGTACTGCATGCTGAGCATGAAAATGAAACCCCTAGAATTTTTGTGTGTTAATATAGAATATACATGCCCCACCCCACCAAATCTCCCAGCCTCACCCACCCTTCACATTTCCCCAAATTTAATCCTCAATTTTACATGCAACCAGCTCATTCGTAAATCATTGAGAAATAAACATATGGTAATCCATAACTCTTCATCTCTGTCTAAAAGTCTCAGCTGTACTCCATAATCATCACAATTATAACAAATAAAGGCTTGACATATCTCGCTTTGCATGTCATGAGTCTATCTCATATCTTAGTTTCACCTTTTAAGTTGAATTATTGAAAGAAATGAACTTTTCCAAAGGTATTCTAATTTTCTGAGTTTCTCCTGTATTCAACACAAAAAACAGTGGCAATTTGTTGTTGACAAAGAACAGCTGGACTTATGAAGGGCCCCATTCCCTTCAGTAGCTTAGGGCCTCATCAAACCTAAATCTGGCCCTGGCCACCATCAAGGGGCACCTGGGTGAGAATGAAGTCTGGCTTATGCTGTGCAAGTGCTGTTGTTGCAAAGAGGCCGAAAACTGCCTTATTTGCTCCTACTACCAGATTCACTCAAGTCTCACCAATCCTGGCAAGCTCCTCAAACGCGATACCTCTTCCTCAGATCCACCCACCCAAATCTTGACTCGCTACCTGCTCTTTTCCTTTTTTAATGTATTTTATCTTCAAATTTTATAACCACAATAATTCATAAATTCAATGCTTTTCCAAAACAGAAAAAAGAAACAATATAGACTTCCCCACTCTCCTCCCCTGGCTTCCGATCTTTTCCCACATAATTTCTTGCATCTCATTTTATCTCCAAATCTTTGTTTTCCCTTTTGTTTATCTTAATTCCCAATTTTTTAATTACATAAATGTTATCTCAAACCTGCTAACGTTTTAATATATTTACAGTGGTCTTTTTAATAGCCTATAAATTTATTCCATTCCTGCTCAAACTTTTCCCCCATCTTGATCTCTGATCTTTGCGGTCATCTTTGCCATTTCGGCATAGTCCATCATCTTAGTAACGCATTCTTCTTCTTTTGGTGTCTTCTCCTGTTTCAAGCAAGCAGCATCCTGTTGTCGCATACATAAATAACCATTTTAGGACCCTAGGTATTCCATCCCCTGTTAGTCCAAGTGAAAAGGCTTCTGGTTTTTTAGCGAAGGTTATCTTAAACATCTTTTTCAATTCATTATATATCATTTCCCAGAAGTCTTTTACTTTTCTACAGTAACCCTAACCCTAACCCTAACCCTAACCCCTAACCCCTAACCCCTAACCTACCTGCTCCTTTCCTTGCTTGTCCATCCAAGCCCCTCCTGTCGGCCGTGTCAGCTTAACAGAAACTCTGTGTCCAGAGGTACCACATCTCTGAATTCCATATCCTGGGAACAAACAATAGGGGGATGTTCTTGTGCCCTGCATCCAAGCTTCCCAGAGGCATTTGGTGGACTACTGCCGTAAGCAAAATAATGAACTAGATGAAAACAAGACACCATTCTCCCAGCTCCACCTCTTGCTTAAGGAAGCAATAGGACACAATGCATGAAATTTTCGAAATTTTAAAGAGGGGGGAGCTGCTGCCCATTCAGTAGCTTGCCTCCCATCACCAGTCCTTCATAAACACAACACAGGACCTGCTCATGTGTGGCATCCCAGCTTTTTCTATAGGCAGCGGTGGAGGAGGCCACTTGGGCACCTGGGGCAGCGCCCATAGGGGCAGGGCAAGCCGCGGGGCCTCCAGAGTCTGCCTGCCTCCTCCCACTCAGCCGCCCTACAACTGGGGGGAGGCAGCGGGCGGACCATTTGGGACATCGCGGAGCCTGCGTGCGCCCAAGCCGCCACATCACTCCCAGGAGAGGAGCGTAGCTCGGGTGCGCTGCAGGCCCTGCGATGAGTGCTGCCCAGTGGTAACACCCAGGGCGGCCCGCACCGACCACACACCCCTTCCTCCGCCCCTGTCTATAGGGTCAAGCAGGGAGCAAGCCCTGGATTTCTCACTGCTGTTTAAAAAGTTTAAAAGTGAGCACCAGCATTAATTATGGACATTCATAAAACTGTCTTTCCTTCATGTCCCAGGATGGTTTACACGAAAAAACGGGGAACCCAGCAAAACTGTTAAAATAATAATACAGTGGTGCCCCGCAAGACGAATGCCTCGCAAGACGAAAAACCCGCTAGACGAAAGGGTTTTCCATTTTTCGATGCGCTTCGCAAGACGATTTTCCCTATGGGCTTGCTTCGCAAGACGGAAACGTCTTGCAAGTCTTGCGATTTTTTTTGCTCCCCCCCCCTTTTTCTAAGCCGCTAAGCCGCTAATAGCCTTTTAGCAGCTAAGCCGCTAAGCCTTTAATAGCCGCTAAGCCGCTAATAGCCTTTTAGCCGCTAAGCCGCTAAGCCTTTAATAGCCGCTAAGCCACTAAACCGCTAATAGCGCTAAGCCGCTAAGCCGCTAATAGGGTTGCTTCGCAAGACGAAAAAACCGCTAGACGAAGAGACTCGCGGAACGGATTATTTTCGTCTTGCGAGGCACCACTGTACATTGGTACCTCGGTTGTCGAACGTAATCCGTTCCGGAAGATCGTTCGACTTCCAAAATGTTTGACAACCGAGGCGCAAAGGGCGGTCCGCAAAGTCAATGGAGAAAACTGAAGAAGAAGAAAATTCAGCGGAAGCTGTTTGACTTCCATGGTGCATTCGAAAATGGAAGCATTTACTTCCAGGTTTTCAGCGTTCAGGTTCCGAAACATTCGACAAAGGAGACGTTCGAGAACCGAGGTACCGCTGTACCGATAAAACAAGGCAGGACATCACAAAAAGCATAGAAGCAGTCGACAGAATTAAAACTTCAGTCTGAAAATTGAGTGTTTTATTGTGGGGGTTTTTTTACCTGGTGCCAAAAATGCAGCTGTGTAGGAACTAGGCAAACCTTTCTTGGAAAAGTATCCCACGGCTGGGAGATCATCACTGAGAACGTCCTTTCCATGCTAGCAATCTGCCTCACCTGAGAAGATCCTTTACTATACATCTCAATGTATAGTAGGGGCATATGGGTGCAGGCAATCCTTCAAGTGTTCTCATCCTAAGTCTTTTAAATCATTGTATATTGATTTTATAAAAAGGAAAGGGGGAGAAGCAACGTGGTGGGGGGTGCCCTTAAGATGTCAGTCAGTTACATTGCCCCGCACAAAAATGCCTTAGCCAGTGTATGCAATTTATATAGCTGTATATAAAAATTATATATAATTCTGCTGACAAGATGCCAAATTTCCTAATCGAAGGTGCTTACGAAAGAAGCGTGGTTGGACTCCTTAAAAAAAAAATCCCTATGGTAATTTTTCTCCCCGATTTCTACAGAAGAAGGATTTTCTTCTCCCTTTTTATATTTTTAAATTTTTTTACATATGCATGAATCTTACTGGTTTCTTTAATTTTTTTTGCCACTCACGTTTTTTTCCCCATAATTATTTTTGTTCAGTTGCCCTACCCCAGGCTGTGATGGCAGCGGACACATCACGGGGAATTATGCCTCTCACCGCAGGTTAGTTGACCTTACCTACGCTATTCTTTCAGGCTCTGACAATCTCTTAAAGATCTCTCTTTTTTAAAAAAAATATAAAAATAGTGTGGATACTTTGGTTCTATTCCCTCTTCCCCTTTTCTTTTACCTCCCCTACCTTTTTTTTAGCTTACCCAAATATTCTATCTCTTCTTTTTCAGCCTTTCTGGTTGCCCTCTTGCTGACAAGAGCCTCAGAAATCTCATGGCTGCCCACTCTGCTGACCTCAAGTATGTTTGCGCTAAACTTGAATCTCCTCTCTCTCTCTCTCTCTCTCTCTCTCCTTTTCGCTACCTCTCGGCCTTTTTTCTCCCTTCCCTCTGCACTTTTCCTTTAGAAAAAGGCTAATAAGAAACCTGCCTGTGAGTTAAAAAAAAATTGACCTTAAACTGCCAATGCAAACAAAACAATATTGAGCTGAGAGATACGCAACATGTTGAATAATATTCAGTTGCTGCTAGGAGATCATTGGCTTAGAACCTTCCGATACATATATTCCTTTGAACTCCAGGCAGATTTTTTATATTTTTTTATTGGCTATCCTGGAGATGTGTCTTTCTCCCCCCCCCCCCCCTCACACTTCTCTCTACATGGTCTTTTGGAGATTGCAACATTGCCAGAAATTTTCTTGGATAATAAAGCAGTACTGTTTCCCACCCCATCCCACCCCCGGACAGGTTGATTAACTTTCTGCCACAGGCTGAGAAAAAAGGGTGATTTGTGAAAGGGGATTGTGCAAGATTTACAGAGGGCCTTTCCTCTTTACCTGAGGAACAGCTTAAAGTAAAGTAAGGGTACCCCTGCCCGTACGGGCCAGTCTTGACAGACTCTAGGGTTGTGCGCCCATCTCACTCCAGAGGCCGGGGGCCAGCGCTGTCCGGAGACACTTCCGGGTCACGTGGCCAGTGTGACATCGCTGCTCTGGCAAGCCAGAGCCGCACACGGAAACGCCGTTTACCTTCCCGCTAGTAAGCGGTCCCTATTTATCTACTTGCACCCGGGGGTGCTTTCGAACTGCTAGGTTGGCAGGCGCTGGGACCGAACAACAGGAGCGCACCCCGCCACGGGGATTCGAACCACCGACCTTTCAATCGGCAAGCCCTAGGTGCTGAGGCTTTTACCCACAGCGCCACCCGCGTCCCGAGGAACAGCTTAGTGAAGCCCAAAATGTTCATACCAGTTCCCCCCAACTGAAGAAGATCTCATCATGCTAACAACAGTAAATTAATGACCGCTCAAAATATCCATACATACTTTGTTGTTGTTGTTTAGTCATTTAGTCGTGTCCGACTCTTCGTGACCCCATGGACCAGAGCACGCCAAGCCCTTCTGTCTTCCACTGCCTTCCGCAGCTTGGTCAAAATACATACATTATACAAAGCCAAATCAGGGGAATTGCACTTGAGTTGTATGTTAACTTTTAGGAAGAATTCTGTTTGCAAAAGAAAAATTTTAATGGGGAATCTAAGAGGAAGAAAACACATGCATTTTTCAAGCGTGAATGTAAAGGTCTCCAGTAAGCGAGGAAAATCAGTCATTTGGTTGTGTCTCCGTCAGTCCAGTTTTCACTGGTTACTTCACATGAACGGTTGTTTTAACACTTGTTTCTCAGCGGAAGTCAATTGACATGACTACTTTGAGGGCTTAATTTTGTTTCTCCATTGTGACTTTCGATGTTTTTCGGTCAGGCTGACCCTGAACTGAATGCCCAGCCATCCAATTCGACCAACCAGTACTATTCCATCAGGAATGGTTTGCCATGGTGAACTAAACTGGAATCTAGGCTGGAGTGGTTGAGAGTCTTGTACTCCATTAACATTCAACCTATGGAAACAAGGAGAAACAGTAAGAATGGATGGAGGTTGGATCCAAAAAGTGCTTATGTGAATCAGTTTGGAGAGAGGGGGGTATTGTGCTATATATGCATCCATCCTAATACTAAAAAATACATGCTTGGTGGGAAATAAGCGCCATTTGGTGAAACCTAAGTAATTATTTGGGGGGGAATGTGGCCCTCAAAATATAATTGCCGTATTTTTCGCCCCATAGGGCGCACCTAGTTTTTTGGGGGGGAATAAAGGGGAAAAAATTTATTTCCCCCCCAGGCGCGGGGCTGGCGCGGGGGAAGCCCGAGCTTCCCCCGACCCCAGCCCCCAGAACAGCCTGCTATCCGCAAGCCTAGGGAGCCTGGCGGGAAGTCACTCCGGTCTCCCCAGGCTTGTGGAGAGCTGTGCGAAACCCGGGACTCCAGGCAGCTCCGGTCTCCCAAGGGTTGTGCAGAGCTTCCCGAAGCCTGGAGAGCGAGAGGGGTCGGTGCGCACATTTCCCCTTCATTTTTGGAGGGGGAAAAGTGCGTCCTATAGGGCGAAAAGTACGGTAAACAAGGGATAGTTTATTTCTAAAGTGCACTGGGATGTTTCAGAAATGAAGGTCCTTCTCCAAAATAATCCCCAAACAAGTTATTTCTTTGCACATGAACACAAAGTGCTTCCAGGGTGATTTCAGACAGATGCTTGTTATGGGGCAGGGGACGGTTTAAGCCAACAACCTGCTTGCGATATCTGAACCGCCCATTTGCAATATTGAGCCCCTGTCTGGAATCACTCGCAATATATGGTTAAAAAGCCAGACGCAGCTGAACTGTGCTGTTGCCCAGAATGTGCCCAAATGCAGCTTGCTGCTGATTTCACCATAGCCCAATTTCATACATTGGTTCCATCTCATTTCCCCCAAAAGGTAAGTTCTTTCCAGCCTGGTAGACCTCTTTTCCCCTCAGAGATGATTGAATGATTCACTTTTATGTTTTATTTTATTTTTTATTTTTAAAATACCCCACTCTTCAGCCAAAAAGGAGGAGGGAAAACTACCCAGAGCAGTTTACAAATATCAATAAAAACACAATAATAAGACCAAAATGTCTTGACAGGATATTTAATAACACCGCGGGGAAAGAGAAGCAGATCACAATTCTGTTCACATTAGAGTTCATTATTTCATTCCAAGTCACAGGGCCTCAACCACATTAGTTTTCGGTGCTTTCATTTCACTCATTCGGCAGCAAGTCATCAAATGTCAACAAAACAAGCCTTGAGAAAGCAAGTAATATACTTGCATTCAATGTTCTTCACACAGGTACGTGTGGCCCTGATTCAAATCAACCTCCAGGAACTGCCAAGTGTCTTAATACGGTGTTAATTACTCCAGAGGAGTTGTGAATAGTTGCTTGGGGAGCCTTAGTGCAAGATGAAGCAGAATATAATCCCTGTGTCCCCAAATTATTCCTACCCTCAAGTCTCCCACCATGTTCCCCATTCAAGATGCTGGATGAGATTTTAGTCATCCAGCCATTTAGTCATTGAGTCCTGGAATGGTCAATGTTTTGTTACAGTTCTTTAGAACATGTCCCAAAATATTTAGCGCTGTGTGGGCTGCACCTCTTCAAACTACGGTGAAATTACGGTGGTGATTGTGATTCATTACCTGCCTGTCGCCCTAAGGTCCCAGGGTGGGTCACAGCCATTTAAAATACAACATTAAAAATGGTTTAGAGAACAAATTACAGTCACCAGAATAGGGCGGGTCTTCAAAAACATACACCTCGAGTGTCAACAGCCAGGATGCCCTTACTCAATTGTTTCTCATTGCAAAGCTGAAATGGGAGAAAGCGTTTGGATCAAATAAGAGCAGACCTGAAACTGTGAACTGAATTAAACTCAATTTCTCCCCCACCCCACCCCACCCCGTGACCGGAAAAGGTTTAGTATTTTGTCTTATGAGCAATGCTGCCTTTGTTTCCATGTATCTGTACAAATGTGTGTTCTTAGGAGCATTGCCTGATTCTGAGGATGCTGTCAGGCGTCTTTCACTTAAAGTCGGAAAAGATTACAGTCTTAGAGAAGAGAAAGGAAAAGTAAAGGGCGTGGGAAACAGATCTGTGGAGTCTGGGACTCCATCACTATTGGGTCTGACTCATAAATGGAGATATCAACACAACTTCCACCACAGAGAAAGTCAAAATATGTTGCACGGGTAGTAGAATTCTTCTTCTTCTTCTTCTTCTTCTTCTTCTTCTTCTTCTTCTTCATCATCATCATCACTCGTAGCTGAGTAAGCTTGTCTTCCATAAACACGGTTTTAACAATGAGTCCGTAAGTGACTGTGGAGGCCAATTCTGGATCTACATGTCCTTCCACAGTGGGGATATAGGTTGATCACAGTGTGGATAGGGCACCTTTTCTAGCCCCTCCCCTTTTTCGGGGTGAGTAGAGTAGATCATAAAAAGCTTGTGTGCACTTGTCATTCTCAAGACTCAAAGCAGGAAATCTGATATCCACCAGTATTCCAGGATGCCAAGACCAAAACAGAGGAGGTGTGGGTGATCCAAGATCTCCCTTCCATTTTTAGTTAAAAGCAGCTGCAGATTAGGCATGTTTAGGTGGCTTGACCTTTCATAAAGGTAAAGGGAGCCCTGACCATTAGGTCCAGTCGCGGACGACTCTGGGGTTGCGGCGCTCATCTCCAAGGGAGCCGGCGTCCAGCTTCCGGGTCATGTGGCCAGCATGACTAAGCAGTTTCTGGAGAACCAGAGCAGTGCATGGAAATGCTGTTTACCTTCCTGCCAGAGTGGTACCTATTTATCTACTTGCACTTTGACATGCTTTTGAACTGCTAGGTTGGCAGGAGCAGGGACCGAGCAATGGGAGCTCACCCCGCCGCAGGGATTCGAACCGCCGACCTTCTGATCAGCAAGCCCTAGGCTCTGTGGTTTAGCCCACAGTGCCACCGGTGTCCCCCTGACCTTTCATAGCTAGCTACAATTCAGTGACAAAGCTCCTATAATTCTACTTCAAGCATAATTACTAAAGGAAAAGATGGGAATGTGGCTACTTTGGGGGCAAATCCCAATAGTTGCATCACCTTCAACAATGGGCACCAAACATGTTGCCATCCAGTTGTTGTTGGAGACCAATTCCCAACAGCCTCAATCGGTTGCAACAACATTCAAAGGCGGGAAGCAAAAAAGCACCATCCCCTTGTGAGATGAAGCATAGGTGCCCATGATATGCAGAGACAGAGTAGCAAATACTAAGAGGTATGAGTGGCAAAGCTTACATTTCTATACATCAGTGACAGTGAAGAAGCAACGAGGTGGAAATGGGAGAGTGCATCGTGTTCCTCTTAAGCAACCAAGCTTAGAAATGAAACCAAATTCAAGGTTTGCTTCTCAGAACTTGAGCTCTGCAGGGCATCAGGTCAGAGTTGTCTGTCCCCCTTCTGCCCACTGCAGCACTAAAGAGGAAGGCAGGTGAGCGAAGCACCAGAAATTTCTGCTTCGTATTCGAAAACATTTTCTTACTGATAAGAACAATGAATTTCAAGTTGTGTTGGCGGTTTCCGTTGTAGGAGAGCTTTGCTACCTAGACTCATATTCTGTACAATTGAATAAAGCCTGTTTGCTTATGTTGAAATTTGAATTCGGTAAAGATGAGCGTAGGGAAATGGTTGCATTTTTCGTTCCAGCGCAAGTCTTAATCCTCTCGTTTTCACCATAGCCACGGAGCATTGAATAGGATTGTGCATCTACTTCTGTTATTTTTGCATTTTCTTCCTTGATACTGCCTGGAAATCCATGTAAGGCCTGAAACACTGACAAATAGCTCAGTGACGAGAGTGGGAGACCCCAAACATGTATGGCAAATCAACTGTCTGCAAAATCATTTTACTGTATCCTTGTTTTGCTGTGGAAGCTGAAGACAAACGGGTTGGACAGCAGTTGTGCCGGTGTCATTTGATGTAGATTGACTTGAATGCCACCATCAGTTTGCAGCTTTGTTCCTCAGCTGCTTCTCTTTCTCTTATCCTTCTTCAGGTGCCCAACGCCCGGCTGTGACGGCTCCGGCCACATAACAGGAAATTATGCCTCACACAGGAGGTGAGTTGGACTTCTTTGTGCAATGTGGAGAGAGATGAGAGGAAACTGAGGAGGAAGCAAGATGGAAGCTGCCTGGGAGAAACTGAGGAGGGGCAGGCGCAAGGTTTTTTAAGGTCTGAATTACAGTGGTACCTCGGGTTACATACGCTTCAGGTTACACATTCCGCTAACCCAGAAATAGTGCTTCAGGTTAAGAACAGAAATCGGACCACGGCAGCATGGCGGCAGCAGGAGGCCCCATTAGCTAAAGTGGTGCTTCAGGTTAAGAACAGTTTCAGGTTAAGAACGGACCTCCAGAATGAATTAAGTACTTAACCAGAGGTACCACTGTACTGTGTTGTGAAATGATGCAGGTCTAAAAAGTGCGTGCCGCCAACGTGAAAAGTTCAGAAAGCTCTGCTTTAAAGCCTAGGTCATTCGTGAGCGATGGCTGATACATCTGGCTTTCATAAATTTTATTGCATTAGCCGTGTGGCCATAGCATGATATACATTGAAATAATATATCTGGCTTTGTTGCTGTTTTATGCGAGGATGAGAAATTGCCACAAAGCATGGCCACCACGGTCCTTTGAGGCACTTCCGTGAGGTGGAATGGCTTCTGTGCTGATGTGTGATAAAAGGGTGGCAGCTTTGAGTACAATTTCCCTCCCCTCGTATGTGACTTGTCAGCAACAACTGAGACTTTTGAGGTCCTGGAAAAGGATTTGAAGTGCAGTATCAGGCAACCATAAGGCCAAGTGAGCAGTCGGCAGCCATCCCTCACGAAATAACCAGCTTTTAAAGGGATGGAGCATGTGACATTTATATTTTACCTCAGCCAGCAAACATGTACTGAACTCTGACTCGCTGCGCCCTGTGTTGATCACAACCCACCCCATTGCAAAGGTTTCTGGCTTGCCAGCCCCTGTAGCCATTTCCCCCCCCCTGTAACAGCATATCTGGGGTGGTTATATGCCCTACTTTACAGAGGACATCCCTCTGTTTTGAAGAGTTTGAGGAGGACAATTCTCTACTTGAAAGTATCCTCTGTTCAGGCCAAGTCTGCTTTAAAGACAGGAGAGGCCTTAAAATTGCCCACCCACAGTTGAGGTGGCAGTTGAGGATTATTTGCAGCAATCATTTCTAAGGTGGAATATAAAAACCGCTGTGAAAATGCTTTTTTTAAATAAAAAAAAAGTTTTGAAAAATGCATTGAATTTGGCATAGCTCACCCTCGCCCTCTAGTGTCACTTTTGTATATTGCACTTTACAACACATTGAAAACATTTTATTTGCAGCTCTATAGCTGAGTCCTAAGTTAGAGGCCGTACATATAAATTGCCATACACAAACTGGTGCCCTCTTCTGTTATGCAAATTCTTATTTCTTTTTTTAGCACATCTCTGTGATGGGAGGGCAAGTGAAACCAGAAACAGCCTCTCAGGAGAATGGGGAGGAAGACATTGAAAGGCAGAGGATAGATGGGGAAAGATGGTCTCAGATGACTATTGGGTTTTGACAGAGAGCTTGAGAAAGGAATGGTGGATCTAGGAGAGCAGGGCCCAGAAAAATCCTCAGAAGTTTAGTGAAGGGCTAATGCCACTTTTGAAGGCCAGGAGATTCGTGGGGCAGAGGAAGGAGACAGAAAATTAAAAATGCTTATCGTGCAGATATGGTTTGCTTCCCAAGGCCTCCCGACTGGCTCCATCGCAATAAATTATCCTAATAATAAACCACCTCCCTGAAGTTCCCTTGCATTTCGCTTGGCTCGGGGAAGGGGGATTGTAGAAAGCAAATGGCCTATTAAAGGCAAACTCCTTCCGTGATCAATGAAGGAAAAAGCAGAGAAAGGGAAACATGTTGAGGAGAGAATATGGATTGCAGGTGAGGTGGAGTTAGTGCGCGGTGCAATGAAGAGTAAAGTTGCAACATGGCGCAAGAAATACTTCGGGGATGATAACCCACCCACCCTTCAGCCAAGATGTTCTCGCTTTCTTATGAACTTCTGTTCTCATTTGCTGTGCCCTTCTGCTTTAAAGTGCTGCTTCCCGATTTTATGGTGGGAGATACGAAAGCCCAGCTTTTTCTGTAACTGGTGGAGTAAGGGCTCACCTTAGCCAACACCATTCTAGCTCCCAGTTGCTGGCTGGATAGTGCCCCCCCTCTAATCAGTGCCAGATTTATATAAGCTAAACAAGCTATAGCTTAGGGCCCCACTCTCTTGGGGGCCCCAAAAAAATTTAAAGGGGAAAAAACTGGATGTACTGTACATTTCTATAATATAAGATAATAGTAATAATAAATAATAACAAATTTTTATTTATACCCCACCCTCCCTGGCCAGAGCGGGGCTCAGGGCGGCTAACACCAGTAAAATTACAATAAAATAAATAAAAAATAAACCAATTTAAAATACAGGTTAAAATATAATTTAAGATGCAGCCTCATTTTAATAGTAGCCCATAGATTAAAACCATAAGAGGAGGGAAACTTAAGGGTCAGAGTGAGTCCAAACCAAAGGCTAGGCGGAACAGCTCTGTCTTGCAGGCCCTGCGGAAAGATGTCAAGTCTCGCAGGGCCCTAGTCTCTTGTGACAGAGCGTTCCACCAAGTCGGGGCCAGTACTGAAAAGGCCCTGATCCTAGTTGAGACCAATCTAACCACCTTGCAACCTGGGACCTCCAAGGTGTTGTCATTTGTGGACCTTCAGGTCTTCCACGGGGCATATCAGGAGAGGCGGTCCCGTAGGTACATGGGTCCTAAAAAACAAATAAAATAAAACCTACATGCAGCAACCGTGTTTTGTGTTGTGTAGGCTCCTATGATGTAAGTCATGGGTCCCACCTGCTAGCCTGGTTTGCTCTTTCTATATATAGGGTGCCTACATTCTGCATGGACTGGTTGCACGGCAACATGTGCAAATGGCTTTAGATACCTATTAGGTCCATAAATTACCATATAGCGTATATTCAACACAAAAAAAGAGTGACAATTGGTTGTTGACAAAGGACAGCTGGACATATAAAGGGCCCCGTTACCTTCAGTAGCTGAGGGCCTCATCAAACCTAAATCCAGCCCTGCCCTCTCTAATGCATGATTGTTCTCATGTGAACACCCAAGTAGGGCGACAATTTCATTCCAGTTTCACAGGTGTCTTACTTGCTCGTGGCTCAGTGGGCAAACTGCAGTGTGCTTGTGAAAAGTTGGCAAGAAGTGAGCCCTCCTTTCATCTCTTGAATCATATATATTTCCCCGAATCGGATTAGAAGCTCTCTCTCTCTCCAGCAAAATAAAAGACAAAAGGGTCAGATTTTAGCTGACACAAAATTTCCAGTTAATAACACCACCTATTTATGACTTCTATTATCTTTTTTTTCCAAACATTAATGGGCACCTCACAGCCTCCCAATTGAACAGTTCCATTAACAGCCGCCGTCTGCTAGCAAATATCTTCTTATCTAGGCACTATTAATTGCGAAGTCTCTCCCCCTCAAAGCAAATGGCTTCCTCCTCCCCCCCCCCCTTTTCCTTCTTAATTTTCACCACCACTTTGTCCCTTTGTGAGGTGCGGAAACAGAATGATCAAAGCACCCAGGCTGGAGAATCAAAGGGGAGAAATTGTTCCTTTTTGCTGCTGGAAAATGGGATGTTCGGTTGAAGGGAAAGAGTTTTGCAGAAAGTCAATGTTCTGCAGGGTAAAACAGGGGTAAAAGTGGCTTTAAAAGATTTCAGTAAAAGAAATAAGGTTACACAAAGCACTCTGAATGCACAAGTATTCTTATGCAGGAAATCTGGGATAGGTTTGTGTGTGTTGGCAAAAGAGAAATAGGGGCAAAGACTGAGAATGCAGAGGTTTTCCATTGGCCCCAGCAGAAGAGGAGCTTGTGTAAGGAGAAAGGGAATTGAAATGAAACGGGAATTGAAATGAGGACTGCTATTTTGATGCATGCAACAGGGTTGCAGTGTGGGGACATTAAATGGAGGTGGGAAAGTTGCGTGATCACTGAGATGCAGGGAGTTGAATACAGTGGTACCTTGGTTCTCAAACTTAATCCATTCCAGAAGTCCGTTCCAAAACCAAAGCGTTCCAAAACCAAGGTGCCCTTTCCCATAGAAAGTAATGCAAAACGGATTGATCCGTTCCAGACTTTTAGAAACAACCCCTAAAGCAGCAATTTAACATGAATTTTACTATCTAACAAGACCATGGATCCATGAAATGAAAGCAATAATCAATGTACTGTACTATAAAATAAATAAGACAGTATTGCAGATGATAAAAATAAAAATCATTTTTTTGTTCTCGCCTGCACTGATGATAGTCATTGTTTGGGGGGGGGGGCTTTTATCCATTTCCACAGCCACACGATTGATTGATTGATTGATTGATTGATCAATCAATCAATCAATCAATCAGTAGCTGAACGGGGTTCTACACAGTAACAAAAACGAATTAAATGAAAAAGCCTCAAAACAAAAATGCAAAATAAATAGCAAAAACAAAAGCCCCAAACTTAATCCGTTCTGGATATCCGTTTGACTTCCGAAATGTTCAAAAACCGAGGTGCAGCTTCTGATTGGTGCAGGCGCCCCAGAAACAATAATCGACAGCCGCATCGGACGTTCTGCTTCCGAAAAACATTCTAAAACCAGAACACTTACTTCCGGGTTTCTGGCATTTGAGAACCAAGGCATTTGAGTACCAAGGTGTTTGAGAACCAAGATACCACTGTATGTGCTCTCTGCAGAAAAGACTTGTTACATAGTCAGGCTCTCCACGCAGGTTTGGTAACGTCAGAGTTCTCTGCAGTTCCTGGTGTGGCTCTTAGCACAAGCCTGCAGCAGGGTTTCTATGAGTCCATGGGAAAGAAGGAGGGGGAGTCCGTATGATGCACCATGCCTAAGACAGCAGTGCATAGCTCATGCACAAGAAAAGGTGCAAGTCTTTTTAAACAACAGGAAAGGGCTTTATTCTGGCCTCAGCTAGCTTAAGGACCATGCCCCAGGCCAAGCGAGCAGCCTCAGAAGCGGGAGCTCAGGAGGGACAAATCGGAAGCATGCAATGCAAGGAAACTCATCGGCGGCTGCTTTTGCACATTGCAACAGTGTCAGGGGAATAAAATACAGTCATACCTCGGGTTACAGACGCTTCAGGTTGTGCGTTTTCGGGTTGCGCACCACGCCGAACCTGGAAGTACCGGAACAGGTTACTTCCGGGTTTGGGCGCTCACGCATGCGCAGAAGTGCTAAATCGTGCTTTGCGTATGCGCAGAAGCATCGAATCATGACCCGCGCGTGTGCAGACACAACGCTGCGGGTTGCGAACGTGCCTCCTGCACGGATCACGTTTGCAACCCAAGCGTCCACTGTACAAGGGGGGATTTAAATAAGATAGAAAGTCTATGAAAGTCACAATAGTCCAGGTAAGGTCCAGAATTAGAGTGCAAAGGACATGGCAGAGCCTAGCCGTACTGAGACGAAAGGATTCACTTGAATATAAGAGGCAAACGGAAAAAGTTTTAAATGATGTCAACAATGCACGTATCTGATTCACGGTGGAGATAAAAAGGAAGGATTGCACAAAAAGACAGTGTGTTTCTAATATTGTCAACTTGGGCCTTTGGTGCATTGAGTGCTGCGCTATAAGTCACACTTGGCTGTCCTTGCGTGGGTTTGGAGAGACCAGGTCAATTCCTTGGGTGAAGCCCAGAAAATGAGTTGAACAGGATAGCTGATTTGAAAGGTGCTCTCTCCCATCTCTGCCCACCTCAGTTTTATTCTACCCCTGCATACTTTATCTAATTCAGATTGTGTGCATTTGAGATGGGGGAATATAGCCTCTTCCAACCCTGAGTCCTTGAGAAAGGGGGAAGGAATGATAAATTAATGGAGGTTGGAGGGCGTTGGAAGCGACTTGAGTTCTGGGAGCAGGAAAAACACTGCCAGGCTGCAAGTAAGGTGCCTTCTCTTCTTCTTCTTTTTAAAAAATGTAGTCTGTCGGGCTGCCCTCGTGCCAAGAAAAGTGGGATCAAGATCACCCCAACCAAGGATGACAAAGAGGATCCAGAGCTGATGAAGTAAGTGAGAAGACAGGTAAAGGTAAAGGTAAAGGGACCCCTGACTATCAGATCCAGTCGTGACCGACTTTGGGGTTGCGGCGCTCATCTCACTTTATTAGCCAAGGGAGCCGGCGTACAGCTTCCGGGTCACGTGGCCAGCATGACTAAGCCGCTTCTGGCGAACCAGAGCAACAAACGGAAATGCCGTTTACCTTCCCACCGGAGTGGTACCTATTTATCTACTTGCACTTTGACGTGCTTTTGAACTGCTAGGTTGGCAGGAGCAGGGACCGAGCAACGGGAGCTCACCCGGGGATTCGAACCGCTGACCTTCTGATCGGCAAGTCCTAGGCTCTGTGGTTTAACCCACAGCGCCACCCGTGTGAGAAGACAATTCCCAGGCAAAATGTGGACATGAAGATGTACATCGTTTCCTTTCAACATGCAGTTCCCCAAGTCTGGTGTCCAAATGTGGTCCTTTCTAGTTCTTGTAATTTTTCCCGGCCCCACCCCAAACAAGGACTGAGCATCCTCAGTGGCTGAATTGCATCCTTGAACTTTGATGATGATGATATTATAATTATTTGTAACCCACCCACCCACCTGACTGGGTTGCCCCAGCCACTCTGGGTGGCTCCCAACAGATACAAGAACACAGTAAAACATCAAACATTTAAAACTTTCATATACAGGGCTGCCTTCAGATGTCTTCCAAAAGGACCGGACATCATTTAATAATAGAATTGAAGAGTTAGAAGGGACCCCAAGGGTCATTTAGTCCAAGCCCCTGCAATGTAGGAATCAGCTGGTTGAGTTGATTGATTAAGTGGAATGATTTCCTGGCTTCTTGTTCTCAAACTAAAGTGATATTATTCCACTGCGTTGAGCATGCACTTAACTGTTAGCAGTTCAGTGGGATTACCTGTTGTACCTAATGACACTTTGGTGTAAAACTGGTGGTGCTGTGGTGTAAACCACTGAGCCTTGGGCTTGCCGATCAGAAGGTTGGCGGTTCGAATCCCCGCGACGGGGTGAGCTCCCGTTGCTCGGTCCCAGCTCCTGCCAACCTAGCATTTCGAAAGCACATCAAAGTGCAAGTAGATAAATAGGTACCACTCCGGTGGGAGGGTAAATGGCTTTTCCGTGCGCTGCTCTGGTTTCGCCAGAAGCGGCTTAGTCATGCTGGCCACATGACCCAGAAAAACTTCTGTGGACAAACGTCGGCCAGTAAAGCGAGATGAGTGACACAACCCCAGAGTCATCTGCGACTGGACCTAACGGTCAGGGGTCCTTTACCTTTTACAGTTTTGGGGTTTCTTTTAATGCCAGGAAAGTCTCTATGTTGCTGCTTGGAGAGTTCTCAGATTTTGGCATCGTTATCTTAGCTCTCACTAATCTGATGGGTGAGAATGGTTGAGTAATCTGCATGATACCGCCTTTCATCAACTCATTATCAATCATTAGTGTGCTTAATTTGAAAAGCTTTAATCATCCTTTCCATTCCTGATTAATCAGCGGAACTCACAATAAGAAAAGACTCTGGGACGTAGAATTCTTGAAAGGGCTACTGTTATTGTACAAGCTGCAGTGTGGTGTGGACTCCTTCCTTTCTGTGTACCGTTTGCTGCAAAATAAAACAAGAGAGAACAGGATAGCCTTCCCTTCTAGCAATGAATAGAAGCTTTTGCTCATTTCAATTGGGGATTGATAAACTGGGGGGGGGGGTGTTCCTATTCCAAATCCCCCTGTTCTGAAATTTGCTGCATCACTAATGCAGCCCCCACTTCTTGGTATGAGTTTTCCACTCATCTGCTAAGGCTGCATACACACTAAGTTTAAAGCAGGCTTCAGGGAATCGCCTTCGTCCCCATCCCCCCTTTGGCAGTAGATAAGCAGAACAAAGGGAAAGGAGTCTTCTTACCAGTTAGAAACTTTAATGATCACAGCGAGAGAATGGAGAATCCATTTCCTAGGGATGAAGGTGCTCCCAATTAAGGGTTTCACCCACTTCCTCCCACGTCACTACCACGTCTTGTAACCTGATCTCATAACTACCGTGCTTGGAAACATACTGGGAGCCAGTGTAGGTCTTTCAAGACCGGGGTTATATGGTCTCGGCGGCCGCTCCCAGTCACCAGTCTAGCTGCTGCATTCTGGATTAGTTGTAGTTTCCGGGTCACCTTCAAAGGTAGTCCTACGTGAGCACATTGCAGTAGTTGTGGCGATCACACAGGGTGGACGTGTGATCCCTGGACGTTTCACCGTCTATTGATCCCTGTGCCACCACTTTATTTCTCGCTGCCACCACCCAGGCCCTACCTGGTACAATACCGAGTCCAGTCAGGTTTAAATTGCAACATAAACTTCTGTTTATTTATTGCAGTTTAACAAGCGTGTGGTTTCATAAACGGTATCGGTCAATTACAATCCTAGGATGCCTATCCAGACCTATAACTTTCGCTACCTGCTCTCACTCACTAAACCACCTCTCAGATATTTACTTGTCTTCCTAGCTCCTAACTGTTCCCGACTCAACTTATTGTGCTACGCTAACTCAACCTACCCGCAAACTCTATCCCAATTCACTCCCATTCCAACCAACCACCCAACTCCCAATGAACTCCCCCCTTCGCCCCTCCCGGAGCTGGTTTTATAGTCTCTCTGACTCCACCCCCCTGGGTTCTGATTGGGTAACTTGTTTAACTATTTCACCTCCAGCACTCTCATATGTTAACATCACAGTAGTCAAAGTGGGAGATAACTATAGCATGCACCACTCCGGTGAGACAGTCTGTGGGCAGGTAGGGTCTCAGCCTACCTCTATCTCTCCCAATGCTTCTTCTTCATCCAGTATTTCCCAGCTTCTGCCTTCTGAACTATGCCCCTCTGCAAGCCACTGTTCCAAATCTATACTGTCCTCCTGCTCCTGGGAAGATTCAGGATCAGGGGAAGGGGGAGGCTCCCACCATTCCTCCTCAGTGCAGCCCTCCTCAGCACAGTCCCTGACACAGACACATCTTCTGTTGTCCACAGTAGCATCGTATGTCAGCAAATTGGCCATCTGCACCCCAGAATGTGGTGGTTTTTCGGAGCACTGAAGGGGAATAAGCCAGTGATGAGCTAGGACATTTGGCTGTGCTGCATCTCCTGATGATGTATGTTCTTCCCCCTCTGGTTCCACAATTCCCTACACACTCCTTGGTCTCACCTTGCTTTTCCACCCCCCTGGGATATTCCAGGGTCACTGTCTCAACAGAAGAAACAGCTTCAAATTCTTCACACTTAGGAGACCATGGTAAACACTGATGCTGTAAGTGATCCAAAGGTCTTTGTAAGAACCAGATGACGTTTCGGAGCCATCTGCTCCGACTTCTATCCCCAGGATAGCGCACCATTTGCATTAAATGAGCCGTGTCGCAATTAGCAGGAGTAAGCAGAGTTTATTAAAAATTGAGCGAGCCCAGTTTTAAAAACTACTGGAACAGCAGCAGCAGCAAAGCTACTTTGCTTTTGACTTTAATGTTCTAAAATTGCTTGGGGAGGTAGAACCATGCATAATCCATAGTGTCGTTCTGCTGTCCAATGACACACAGAGAGCAACAAGAATGAAAATGGATCGCACTGCCAAAGATAAGTGCTGTGTTGTGCAGTTTATAGCCCATTACTGCAACTAGTGGGGCTCCGTATCTCCTTCCTCTGCAATGACTTCCTCTGCATTCCTTTCAGGAGAATTGCAGCGCAATCGATGCAGCCCATAAATGTGTCCACATGTTACTTAGGTTGCTGCTAGGTTTGGATTGGGGGGGAGATGACTCTGCCCAAGATGGGTCAAAAGAGAATCTGGCAGGTCAAGGGTTGTCAAAGCAGAGTCGTGGGAAACTTGGTAGAACCAGTGTTTTGTAGTCTTTCTTTCTTTCTTTCTTCTTTCTTTCTTCCTTCCTTCCTTCCTTCTTTCTCTCTTTCTCTCTTCTCTCTTTCTTTCTTTCGCAATCACTCATAGCCGAGTAAGATTGTCTTCCATAAACACAGTTTTAACTGTACTTAAACAAATGCAAACAGTTGCAGAAATCTTAATGGAGAGGACCCCACGTAAGCGGTGTCGCCAACTTCCGATTTCAGAAAAACAAGTGAGATGTTCAGTGGAGCCAGGGCAGAACTCGATGCGCCAGGGAGAGAACCCATGGGGGGAGAACCTAAAGAGAATCTGGATAAATTGGATGGCTCAGGGTACAAAGAAGTAAGGGTGAAATTCAGTGGATGGGGTTGAGAATCGAGGAATCTCCTGGGCCAGGAAGATTGCATTCAACACAAGGTCTGAACATAGCCTTACAAACATACAATTGTCTTCTTCTTATTCTTCTTTGGCGATCCCTCGTAGCCAAGTACGATTGTCTTCCATAAACATGGTTTTAACAGTGAGTTCTTAAGTGACTGTGGAGGCCAATTCTGGATTCACACGTCCTTCTACAGTGGGGACATTGGTTTCCAGGCAGGAGTTGATCACGGTGTGGATTTTGTGGTTTTATATCTTGATTTTATTCTGTGAACTGCCCTGAGACCTCCGGGTATAGGGTGGTATATAACTAATAATAATAATAATAATAATAATAATAATAATAATAATAGCAACAGCAACAATAAATAGGCTTACAATACATTTAAAAACAAACATAAATATATTACACTACTAACAAATGCATACAAATCACAGCGTAGTGTTTTGTGGAGGGTAGAGGAGGAGTGATTGATCTCCAGCAAAGGCTGGGGCAGACCCTGTCTGAAACCCTGGAAAGCTGCTGCTTCTGCCGGCCAGTGTAGACAGCACTGAGTTTGATGGACCAATGGTGCACCTCATTACAAGACAGCACCCTGTATTCCTCATGGAAGAGATAAGAGGCTATATGAAATGGACGGGTGGAGAAAATTGCAGGAAGGCAAGCTTTCCCCTCCCTTTCCAAACTCCTCTAGTCCTTTAGAAAGTAGCATTTTGTCTTCTCTAACAAGGTACGCTCTCGTGGAGGTCCCTGCAGGTTTGCGATAAAGAGGCTCCGCTGTAATTCCAGCGCTCCATCTGCGTGCCAGAAATCTGCTTGGCTGCGGTCCGAGATTCGCACGCCGCCACTGAGAAGAAGAGACTAATATAGTCCCTGGTGCCTTGTTGCTCTTTCCTCACGCCGTTTACATCGGAGGGCGTGCTTTCTGGCCTGGCCACGCAGCATCACGCAGCTCATCAATTGCAACTGCCTTCCACAAATCATCTCGACCTTCCCCTTCCCTCTTTAAAATAAAAAAGGAAAAGACAATTCAGGAGAGCGACTATTCAATTGACCGGCCATTACCGCAACTTCAATTAAACAGCAATAATAAATTTTTAAAACATACACACGCCACACATCCCAAGCCAGCTGTTTGCCACAATAAGACTCTGGTTTATTTTTTACAATAAAAGTGTAATGAAAGTTAAATTAACAGTGTAAAATATGTAACGGCTGGGCCATAAACGCTGCATGCTAATCGCTCCCTTCCCCTTTCTATCCTCCCCTCGGCCTCCCTCTTTTTCTCCTGAGGTTTCAGTAATTTGCTTGCGATCATATAAACAGCGACGCAGTTATGAATTTAGTGAGCATCCTGCTGGCAACGATATAATAAGTGAATTGTGCCGCATTTGCAGATGATTAAAAACAGGATCAGCGTTTTTCAAATTATCTCGGAGCGGGTATGAAATAACAGTGGTGCGGCCCCTCGACTGTCAACTCCTCTGTTGTTGTTTTTATGGAATAAAATAAAAATAATGATGATAACAATGAAACACAGAACACGCGTTTCAAGAGCAGGCAAGCACTCTTGTTTTGACAGTCGTGGTTGACGTTCTTAATTGCTGCCTTGCATAAAGGGGCGGTTGTGCTATTCCACATCGACTCCTTCTTTGAAAGCCTTGAGTAGTCGCAAACTTGTGTGTGTGACTGTAATTGACATGTATATTTAAACAAACGCAACCAGTCGCAGAAACCTTAATGGCAAGCGGGATCGCCAACTTCCAATTTCAGAAAAAATGGGTGGGATGTTCAGTGGAGCCAGGGCAGAACTCGATGCCCCAGGGAGAGAACCCATGGGGGAGAACCCAAAGAGAATCCGGATAAATTGGATAGATCGGGGTACAAAGAAGTAAGGGTGAAATTCAGTGGATGGGGTTGAGAATCGAGGAATCTCCTGGGCCAGGAAGATTGCATTCAGCACAAGGTCTGAACATAGTCTTAAAGGTAAAGGTAAAGGGACCCCTGACCATTAGGTCCAGTCGTGGCTGACTCTGGGGTTGCGGCGCTCATCTCGCTTTATTGGCCGAGGGAGCCAGTGTACAGCTTCTGGGTCATGTGGCCAGCATGACTAAGCCGCTTCTGGAGAACCAGAACAGCACACGGAAACGCCATTTACCTTCCCGCCGGAGTGGTACCTATTTATCTACTTGCACTTTGACGTGCTTTCGAACTGCTAGGTTGGCAGGAGCAGGGAACGAGCAATAGGAGCTCACCCTGTTGCGGGGATTCGAACCGCTGACCTTCTGATCAGCAAGTCCTAGGCTCTGTGGTTTAACCCACAGTGCCACCCACGTCCCTGATCATAGCCTTACAAACATACAATTGTCTTCCTTGGCGATCACTCATAACCAAGTAAGATTGTCTTCCATAAACACAGTTTTAACTGTGAATACATAAGTGACTCTGGAGGCCAATTCTGGATCAACACATCCTTCCACAGTGGGGACATTGGTACCCTGGTGGGAGTTGATCACGTGGGGATTTGCCAAGCATGCCTTCCTCTTAGCACGTTTTCCCCTTTCATCCTGAGTTCGAGCATCTTCAAAACCCATGGCATCTTTGGTAAAAGCTGTTTTATAATTGGAGCGCTCGCAGACCAGTGTTTCCCAGTTGTCGGTGTTTATACTACATTTTTTTAGATTAGCCTTGAGAGATTCTTTAAGGCTCTTTTGTTGACCACCAGCTTTTTGCTTTCCATTTTCAAGTTCAGATACATTTCTAATTTGTAAATACAATTGTAATTGCACAGTAACTGGGCATACAATAGGGGATCCCCTGCTGCTGCTGTTTCGCTTGGGTTTTTTTTACATGGGAGAGCATGCATGGGCTCTGTTCAGGCTTTCCACTGAATGGGGCAATCTCCCCTCTCACCCAAACACACACAAATATTTTGTTGGGAGACCGAACCCCCATCAGCCCCTAGGAACTGGTTTCCATGCAGCCTACAAAGTTTTGAAGAGCTGTGCAGAGCGAATGAGTCCCCTTCTTTCTGTGATTAAGAACCTTTTAATCTGCGTACACACCAGGCATTGAAAGCATCTCCCCAATTTGAATCCTGGGAGCTGTTGTTTAAAAGGGCTTGGAACTGTAGTTCTCTGAGGGGTGAGCTACAGTTCCTAAGAACCTTTGGGGGAGGGGGTGCGCCTTAAATATATGGTGCTTATGGTTCCTTAGATTCCTTCTTTTATAGCCAGTTTCAATGTTTGATTGACCTGGGTAGTTACCGGAGCTGGGTAGGTACCTCTGGTTGTGAACGGGATCCGTTCTGGAGGCCTGTTCAAAACATGAAAAGAGCACAACCTGAAGCACCGTATCTGCACAGGTGTGCGGCATGATTTGGTACTTGTGCGCATGTGTGAAGCATGAGTGTTGTGTTGTGTTGTACTGTTTTATTGTTGTTAGCTGCCCTGAGCCCGGCTTCGGCTGGGGAGGGCGGGATATAAATAATTTTTTTAATTATTATTATTTATTATTCTGCACATGCGCGAGCGGCAAAACCCGGAAGTAACCCTTTCTGGTACTACCGGGTCGCTGCGGGACGTAATCTGAAAGAACGTAAAGGCAAAGGGACCCCTGACCATTGGGTCCAGTCGTGGCCGACTCTGGGGTTGCGGCACTCATCTTGCTTTATTGGCCGAGGGAGTCGGCGTACAGCTTCCGGGTCATGTGGCCAGCATGACTAAGCCACTTCTGGCGAATCAGAGCAGCCCACGGAAATGCCGTTTGCCTTCCCACCGGAGCGGTACCTATTTATCTACTTGCACTTCGACGTGCTTTCGAACTGCTAGGTTGGCAGGAGCAGGGAACGAGCAATGGGAGCTCACCCCGTTGCGGGGATTTGAAACCACCGACCTTCTGATCAGCAAGTCCTAGGCTCTGTGGTTTAACCCACAGCCTCACCCGCATCCCTTACCTGAAAGAACGTAACATGAAGCAAACGTAACATGTGGTATAATGCTGATGCTGTTTTACTGCCTTCTAAGGCAGGCTTCTAAGGTTTGGGTCCTGAGCTCCCTTCTGCAAAAGCAAAGTGCTTCCCCATCATACAAGGGCTTGTGGTCCAGCAGAGAGTTTTTGGGAAGCACAAGGGCTGTCGGGGGGAGGGAGGAAGATTGAACGTGATCTCCCACCCCTTCTGCCGGCTGGAGCGGAACTCATGAGACACTTCCGCCAGCAAAATGGACCCAAGCTGTAATCTGTTTGTTTGTTTATATCTGAGCAAAAGGTGTTGTTTCTTCTTATTTCTGTAGGTGCCCTGTTCCCGGTTGTGTTGGGCTTGGACACATCAGCGGCAAATACGCCTCGCATCGCAGTGCCTCGGGGTGCCCCCTCGCAGCCCGGAGGCAGAAAGAAGGGTCTCTCAATGGTTCATCCTTTTCATGGAAGTCCCTCAAGAACGAGGGTCCCACTTGTCCAACCCCAGGTTGTGATGGCTCAGGTCACGCAAATGGAAGCTTCCTCACTCACAGAAGGTAACTGTTATGCATGTGGTCCCGGTGTCTTCTGCAAAAGGTAGCAGTGAAGTCCATTTTGCAACACCACCTCAATACTTGCTCAGGAACTGAGCCCTGGGACCAAACTAGATATCTAGATTTTTTTAGACTCTCTTGTGCTGATCTGTGCTAGATTGCCTGAGGTTTCAATGAAGTGTGCACTCATCACCCTTGGCCCCTGGTTTTACCCCTTGAGATAAAATACAGAGAATGATCGTGGATCTATGTGGATCTTCTCGTGCAGCAGCCACTGAAATCCAAAGAGTGTATTCACATGATCCACAAATATCCAGCCTCTTGATAATTTTGGTTGCCCTTTTCCTGAACCTTTTCCAGTTCTACAAAACTCTTGAAGTTCTACAAAACTCATTTACGATAGTGAGCTCATCCAAATATGGAATAAAGGTGTGTCAGTGGTTTAAGGGGTGGTGGTATAATTAGCTACCTGCTTCAATAGTCCAAACACAGTTCGTATGAACTTCAGGGATTTGGGGAAGAGCGGGCAAAGACATCTTTTCAGCTTCTGATGCATGGATGTTGAAAATTCACTCAATTTCAAATCCAGGCAAAACTTGTTCCTGATCTAAATATTTCATCCTTGTTTAACACACTGCATCACAGCATGGATAGAGGAAATTAGGAACAAGAAATGTCCCCCAAGAATTTAATTGCACGTAGACGAGTGAGATTGTAAGAGATTTGTCTTATTCTATACCAGGCTTCCTCAACCTCGGCCTCCAGATATTTTTGGCCTACAACTCCCATGATCCCTAGCTAGCAGGACCAGTGGTCAGGGATGATGGGAATTGTAGTCTCAAAACATCTGGAGGGCTGAGGTTGAGGAAGCCTGTTCTATACTATGTGTTACATGCCATTTCTTGAACCATCTCCCTTTGTATGTCTAAGCCCAGAGGGCATATAAACACAAATGTAGCTGCTGATTTTGCAGGATATAACTATCTTGTGCAACCCACACCAGAGGCCAGTTTTGCATCTGTCATGCATTGAGCCAATGGATCTGGAAAGCAAGCTGACAGTTGTGGAGTTTTCCACCGGGATAACAGATGTGAGAGATCCATGCCCAGCTATATCCTTCTCCCAAGATACGTCTGGTACTTGTAAACTGAGACTAGGTCACCAAACCTACCGTAATTCTTCAAAGCAGGTGGAGGATACACACAGGGGCATCCTATGAAATTGTGTCAGTTGTGTCAGAGAAGAAAGAAGAACTACCTGTTTTGCTGGCTCAGACTAAAAGTCTGTCTGGCCCAGCAGCCCGTTTCCAACAGTGATCAGCCAGAAGTTTACAAGGAGGGTCCGAAGATAACTGCCCTCCACTGAGTAGCTTGTTGTCATCTCCTTTTTAATTCTTTAATTATTTTCTCTTAAGCAGTAAACTATAGCAACAAACACTGGAATAACGATGCTTCTGTCACAGTGCCCATTTTCCTTTGAGTTCATACAGTACTTCTGCTGCAACCAGTGCTTTTTGTGATGGTACTCACTGGTATTAAGTATCATCACTTTTCTCTTCTTTCGCTGCCCATAGCAACTATTTTCTGGTGACACCCACGGCCCTTTTATCAAGACAGGAGTACTAGTTCGACATTTTTCCCCAAACAGAAACAAAAACACTGGTTGCAACACATGAAAGCATTAACAGATCTGCAGGCCCACGTCTCTTCCATGCGCCATATGTAGAATCTGCCATTTGCCACTGTACATTAGGAAATGCATGCAAGCTCCTGCAACTCGTCCTTCCCTTTAGGTCCTCTGCCAACTCTGTGATGTGGTGTGAGCTTCTCGTGTAAAGCAAGCTGCCCGATCTTGGCAATCCAAGCTTTTGCCTGCCATCAACATTCCCACAATGCCAGCGCCACTATATACTCGAGTATAAGCCGACTTTTTCAGCACATTTTTTATGCTGGAAAAGTCCCCCTCAGGTTTCTGGTGTGGTGGACCCGCTTATACTTAAGTCAGTAAGTTTTCCCAGTTTTTTATGGTAAAATTAGGTGCCTCGGCTTATATTTGGGTCAGCTTATACCGAGTATATACTGTAATATCCTTCCTAACTTGTGCTAGGAAGTTCCTTCACTTAGTAGAGTGCATTTCCCTTCTTATGCAGTAGAAAGCTGGTTGCAAACTCGTGTGAGTTCTTAAAACAATAAGCAATTCAATCTGGCTTGTCCAGATTGAGATATGTTCTAATATTCCTGGTAAGACCCCTTTTAAATCCCTCCTAAAAGAATAAAGACACCACAGTCTTATCCATAAGTAAAAATAGTAGTTTTACTCACGATCTGGCAGAGCACAGTGTGATCCCTGAAAGCAGGCCTTAGGCTTAAAGTTACAAACATGTACAAACAGCTTTACCCCATATGGGAGATAATCTGGGGGACTGCTTGGCTGACAGCCAGCAGTACAGGAAGTTCGCGGGATGAAAGGAAGATCGAAGAGAAAGAAGGAGAGGTAGCTGCGTGACTGGACCTTTTGTTAGGTCAGGGAAGGTCTCGCCCACCTACTAGTCACATGCAAGGAAGGATGCTGCAGGCCAGGAGGAACAGGAAGTTTCGACTGGCTGGACCAAACATTCCCTTGCATGTCCACTCTAGCAAAACAAGGAATGTGGTACTTGACTGCTCCCAGTGGATGACATCCCACAGGATTGCTCAAGGGGTCCGTTGTTAATCCCAGCTCTGGATGGACATTACATAGAACCAGAGCTGGAAGGAGAAGAAGAAGGAGAAGGAGAAGAATTTGGACTCGATATCCCACCTTTCACTCCCCTTAAGGAGTCTCAAAGCGGCTAACAATCTCCTTTCCCTTCCTCCCCCACAACAAACACTCTGTGAGGCGAGTGAGGCTGAGAGACTTCACAGAAGTGTGACTAGCCCAAGGTCACCCAGCAGCTGCATGTGGAGGAGCAGAGACGCGAACCCGGTTCACCAGATTACGAGACTACCGCTCTTAACCACTACACCACACTGGCTCCCTGGAAGAGGCCCTGAGGATCATCTAGTTCAACGGCCTGCAATGCAGGAATATGCAGCTGTCCCTGACGGGGATCAAACCTGCAACCTTGATGTTTGTCAGCACCATGCTCCAGCCAACCGAGCTGTTTCACAACACAACATGGTAGCTTTCATGCTCACAGTATCTGCTCCACCCACCCCACACCTCTGCCCAGGCCACAGACCTCATGCCACCAGCTCCTGAAGGGACCATCAGTAGCCTGGGAGAACTGTTGGGGCACCTGCCCCTGCACACACTTTCCCTGGGACTGCTTAAGACCTGTCTGCCTGAAGGGAAGGCAGATGTGAGGAAGCCCAGGCCAGGAAGCATTTAATCGCCAGCTCCTGAGGTTGGGCTGATAATGTTTTGTTTTGTTTTAAATTTATTTATTCTAGTGTTTCAAACTGGTAGAACAGCGGTATATAATTGCAATAAATGCATAATTAGTATAGTAAAAGCTATGGTTTTCCCAGTAGTGATGTATGGAAGTGAGAGCTGGACCATAAAGAAGGCTGATCGCCGAAGAATTGATGCTTTTGAATTCTGGTGCTGGAGGAGACTCTTGAGAGTCCCATGGACTGCAAGAAGATCAAACCTATCCATTCTGAAGGAAATCAGCCCTGAGTGCTCACTGGAAGGACAGATCCTGAAGCTGAGCCTCCAATACTTTGGCCACCTCATGAGAAGAGAAGACTCCCTGGAAAAGACCCTGATGTTGGGAAAGTTTGAGGGCACAAGGAGAAGGGGATGACAGAGGACGAGATGGCTGGATAGTGTTCTCGAAGCTACCAGCATGAGTTTGACCAAACTGCGGGAGGCGGTGGAAGACAGGAGTGCCCGGCGTGCTCTGGTCCATGGGGTCACAAAGAGTCGGACACGACTAAACAACAACAACAACATAATTAGTAAATAAATAGCTGTTGGAAGCCTGGGGGTATCTCATGAAAGGTTCTAATGAAGTCCTGAACAGTACAACAGGCTATCCGCAAGTACAACTAATTTCAGGAGGAGGATATCTTTGGATTTATGAGACATAAAATACGTGCTTTGATTAGAATCCACATTTTATAGCTGAATCTTTTATGGGGCAACCTGCAAGGGAATTTCTCTCATATACAACAGTCAATTTATTTATTTATTTCGAACTATTCAGCCAAGCTAATCCAAATGACTGAGTTCCTGGCGGACTTATAAAAACTTACTGCGTCAACTGGGGTGGGAGGGGGATGGAAACTTCCCTGGGAAATGGTTTTACAATGAGCATTAAATAGCTATATTCATTTTGTGATTTTTCCATTGAATGACAAGGAGGAAAAAAGAGAGAGAAATGGTTATTTCTTCCCCCAGAGAAGTAAAACACATTATTTTCATTTTGTTTTGAAATTTTATGCAAACATTTACAGTTAATGTAAACATTAACAACGAGAAAGGATGCCAGAGGTGGAGAAAGATTTCCTCACAAATAACTTTTTTAAGAAGTTCTCTATGCTTTCCCACATCAACAAATTTCTGCTTTAGGATCAGAACCAGTGATTTCAGCAGAGCTGTTTATGTTTGCTGTTGATTTTGCACCTGAGGTTTCTGCTTTTTGGGAATGTAGGAAACAACCTTAAACTGAGCCAGGGTGTTTGTCCACTTTGTTTGTCCACTGTTTAAATGCAGTGGCTCACATAGATTTCAAACAGAGTCCTTTTCCTAGTTGTTATGTACTGAAGTTCTCACCCTGGGCCAGCAGGGGGATATTGTAGATAGTTTTCACTCAGGTCCACTTATGCAAATAAGGGATTGAAAGTGACGTTCAGTGATTGGATAGTTACAGAAAATGGTTACTGTTGCTTTGTAGTTGAGCTCTATATAAGCAGACTGGCTGAACCCTTCAGTTCAGTTCTGTTCTGGCCTGTGAATAAACAAGAGCTGTTTGAAGAATCGCTGTGTCGTCTGATATGTTCACCCACGACTTAACACTAGTACTCTCTAAATTGCTCGCATAAGTAATCTGACCTAGTCAAGGATCATGTAACGAATATAACAAAGCTACATCTGACACAGCATCCTAAGACATAGGTGATCTTGTGGGTCAACACAACCACTCAGATTTGCTTACATGATTATGGCAAGGAGGGCAACTGGGAGCAACACAAGTTAGGGCAATAGATATGAATAAGGCTGCAATTCTTTGCACGCTGACTTGGTAGTAAGTTTCCTTAAATACTACTTAATTCTGAATGCACAAGATTGCACAGTGACTGAACATATTTACAAAGAATGCTGAATTTCACCCCACAAGGGAGGCTTTTATGCTATTGCAAGTACGGTAATTTTAGCTCAGCCTTAATTACCTGGCTGCAATTAATCCTGGAGGTTCTAATAAAATCCACTTTTGTTTATCATTTTAGCCTGTCGGGGTGTCCAAGAGCTACTTTTGCTGGGAAAAAGGGGAAAATCTCAGGGGATGAAATTCTCAACGCTAAATTCAAGACCAGTGATGGTAAGAGAACCAGATTTATCACTTGGCTAGTTTTGCATATTTGAAAATTTGATTTTGAAAAATTAACATAACCTTACAGATTGTGTGTGTCCACACCATTAGCATTTCCACTGGACCGAGATGATCCATGCCAATTGAATTAGTACTTGCTAACTTACTTGCTAAGGATTTGCTCTGCTATTCAGGCAGCATGTTTCTTGCAATCTGGAAATCCCCAACAAGAGTAAATATCCATCTTGCTACCGATTGCATACTCTCCACTATTTGATTCTTGCACAATTTCCAAAAGCTAAAAATATGCCTCGCCACTAAATTTGCTCTTAAAATGCCCCCAGTTTTTTCAGCCTGCTAGATCACATGTGATATCGTGACCAGAATGTTGTGGTTTCAGTGTGAAGGATCTAGTTTAAATCATTATGCAGTACAATGCTCACCCTATGATAAAGCCAGTGTTGTAGAAAGTCCTTGATTCTCAGCTGTAACTCACTAGCCAAACTCTGTTCTTTCTGTTTCACCCCACCCTCCATTTTTAATATGATTGGGGGGGCGCAACTTACCTTGCCATTAAATATTATAATTAATGAGATGATATGATTGTAAATTTTGCAAGGGCCATTAAAGGTCATTTCACCAACCCACTACCAATGCAAGAAACCCATTGCTATAGCATTCCCCAAAACTGACATTCCAGTATCTGCTTAGTAACCTCTAACTAAGGAGAACCACCACCTTCCAAGGTGATTATTTCTGTTAAAGGGTGGCGCTGTGGTCTAAACCACTGAGCTTCTTGGCCTTGCTGATCAGAAGGTCGGCAGTTCAAATCTGCACAATGGTGATGAGCTCCCATTACTCTGTCCCAGCTCCTGCCAACCTAGCAGCTCAAAAGCATACCAGTGCAAGTAGATAAATAGGTACCACTGCAGCAGGAAGGTAAATGTCATTTCTGTGCACTCTGGCTTCCATCACGCTGTTCCGTTGTGCCAGACTATGCTGGCCACAAGACCCGGAAAGCTGTGAACAAATGCCGGCTCCCTCAGCCTGAAAAGCGAGATGAGCACCACACTTCATTGTCGCCTTTGAGCAGACTTAACTGTCCAGGGGTCCTTGTTTAGCTGAAGTCCCCTTTCTTGTACAGTGGTACCTTGGTTATCAAACAGCTTAGTTGTTGAACAAATCGGCTCCCGAATGCCACAAACCCAGAAGTGAGTGTTCTGGTTTGCGAACATTTTTTGGAAGCTGAACGTCTGACGCAGCTTACACGGCTTCTAATTGAGTGCAGGAAGTTCCTGCAGTCAATAGGGAGCCACACCTTGGTTTTCGAACTGTTCCCGGAGTCAAATGGACTCCCGGAACAGATTAAGTTTGACAACCAAGGTGCTACTGTAATGTGAACACATTGGTTTAGGTCCTACCAGCAACAGCAAGGTACTCTCACCAGAAGTTGTTAGAATACAAGTTCCATTAACCCTACTCTGCATGGTCCTAGGTTAGGGTCGATGGGAGTTGTATCTACCATATTTGTGACACCCTCGCTCTAGGACTGCAGAAAACAAATTTATTTTTATGATCTGTATATTAAGTGCTTAAAGGTAAAGGTAAAGGTACCCCTGCCCGTACGGGCCAGTCTTGCCAGACTCTAGGGTTGTGCGCTCATCTCACTCTATAGGCCGGGAGCCAGCGCTGTCCGCAGACACTTCCGGGTCACGTGGCCAGCGTGACAAGCTGCATCTGGCGAGCCAGCGCAGCACACGGAACGCCGTTTACCTTCCCGCTAGAAAGCGGTCCCTATTTATCTACTTGCACCCGAAGGTGCTTTCGAACTGCTAGGTTGGCAGGCGCTGGGACCGAACAACGGGAGCGCACCCCACCGCGGGGATTCGAACCGCCGACCATGCGATCGGCAAGTCCTAGGCACGGAGGTTTTACCCACAGCGCCACCCGCGTCCCTATATTAAGTGCTTAGAGCACTCCAATGACGTTACATGAGGGCTAAACATTATTATGTAGACAATACGTTTCCAAGCTCAATTCAAAGTGTTGGTGCTGACCTTGAAAGCCCTAAATGGCCTCGGTCCAGTATATCTGAAGGAGCGTCTCCACCCCCATCGTTCTGCCCGGACACTGAGGTCCAGCGCCGAGGGCCTTCTGGCGGTTCCCTCTCTGCGAGAAGTGAGGTTACAGGGAACCAGACAGAGGGCCTTCTCGGTAGTGGCGCCCGCCCTGTAGAACGCCCTCCCATCAGATGTCAAGGAAATAGGCAGCTATCTTATCTTTAAAAGACATCTGAAGGCATCCCTGTTTAGGGAAGTTTTTAATATTTAATACTGTATTGTTTTTAACACTCGACTGGGAGCCGCCCAGAGTGGCTGGGGAAATTCAGCCAGATGGGCGGGGTATAAATAAATTATTATTATTAATTATTATTATTATTATTATTATTATTATTATTATTATTAATTGACAGTACACTGGAGTCCAAGGGTGGTATTCAGTGCTACTCAGAGTAACACTGAAGTTAGCAGAAATGATTACGTAATTTAGTTTCATTAATTTAAATGGATCTACTCCGTGTAGGTTCTATCTGCATATATTAGAGCAGGAAATTGCCTGACCGCTTCTTTATTTCATCCTTGCAGTTCTAGAGAACGACGAAGAAATTAAGCAGTTAAACAAAGAGATTAGTGAGCTGAATGAATCCAACACTGAGATGGAAGCAGCCATGGTGAAGCTGCAGTCACAGGTAAATGCACTTGTACTATTTCTTTATTTAAAATAGACATATACACCCGCTCTCACTAAAATAACACCAGGGTGCTGTGCAATAAAACAATTTGGTACAAAACAACAATTTTAATATGCAATGAAAGCAATCTAATTTTTTAAAAAACCACAAAGCTAAAGTGGTACCTCAGGTTAAGATCGGTTTCAGATTAAGAACGGACCTCCAGAACGAATTAAGTTCTTAACCAGAGGTACCACTGTATTTCGTTGACATCTGATGGGAAGGGGTTCCATAGGGCGGGCATGACTACCGAGAACGCCCTCTGCCTGGTTGAATGTACAGTGGTACCTCGGTTTTTGAGCGTCTCAGAAGCCAAACGTTTCGGTTTTCGGATGCCGAAAACCCGGAAGTAATTGCTTCCGTTTTCAAACACTCCTCAGAAGTCAAACAGCTTCCACTGCATTTTTTTTCCATTTTCTCCATTGACTTTGCAGCCAGCCCTTTGCATCTCGGTCATCGAACATTTCGGAAGTCGAACTGTCTTCCTGAACGGATTGCGTTTGACAACCGAGATACCATAGTATATGAATGTATGCTTGTATTGAGACTCCACAGCAGCCTGGTGTCAATTGCTTTTATTACCCCACAATATTGCTGCATTGCGCATTCCTCTGCCTTTGCAAACACCAGTCAACAAAGCTGAGTGAAGGCTGGGAGACTTACAGTGTGATCATTTAATGTCCTGCATCTGGCATGACAAAAAGAGAGGAAGACCGAGAAGAAGGAAGAGATTCAGACTTACGGTTTGCAGCAGCAGCCATGAACCTGTTTGTTCCACTTGTGGAGCAGGATATGAACCTAATAAATATAAGCTCACTGTGGTGCTCACAGAATGTTGAAAGACAGTGACCATTTCTCTTCCCTAATCCATGTTTCCCTCCCACCTCCTACAGATCTCAAGCATGGAGAAGAACCTCAAGAACATTGAGGAGGAGAACAAGATTATAGAGGAGCAGAATGAAGCCCTCTTCCTTGAGCTCTCAGGGCTGAGCCAGACTCTTATCCAAAGTCTTGCCAATATCCGCCTTCCACACATGGTGAGAATTTCTCCCGTGCACCAAACCTTTGGCCGTGTGATACAGCACCAGATTCTGAAAGCCTTCTTGCAAGATGCTTTGTGTATAATTAAGGAGTGGCAGAAAAAGAGCTCCAGGCTATTAATTCTTTCCATTTTTCATAAAATTCAGCAGGGAAAAAGGGCCCAAGCACCATTTATAGACAGAGTCCATGCCTAAAGGTAAAGGTAACGGTAAAGGGGCCCCTGACCATTAGGTCCAGTCATGACCAACTCTGGGGTTGTGGCGCTCATCTCGCTTTATTGGCCAAGGGAGCCGGCGTACAGCTTCTGGGTCATGTGGTCAGCGTGACTAAGCCGCTTCTGGCGAACCAGAGCAGCGCACGGAAATGCCATTTACCTTCCCACTGGAGTGGTACCTATTTCTCTACTTGCACTTTGACGTGCTTTTGAACTGCTAGGTTGGCAGGAGCAGGGACCAAGCAATGGGAGCTCACCCCGTTGCAGGGATTCAAACCGCCGAGCTTCTGATCGGCAAGTCCTAGGCTCTGTGGTTTAACCCACAGCACCACCCGCGTCCCATGCCTTAGTCCATGCCTAAGGTTAGAGCAATTTAAATGCCTGAAAGCAAGGAAGTGCAAGACTAAGCAGTCCCAGGCAGCTTTACGTCTGCACTGCAATATGTGGGAATAAAACAAAAAGAAGGTCCAAGCCCAGTGAGCCCAGCACTCACATATATATTTTGCTTCCCACCGCCCATGGTAGCAAAGTAAATTCACTTAATGGTAGCAATTACTTTTATTCCCTCATGTTGCTCCGCAGAATCAAGGCTACCATACCTGTCAGATCAGGCAGGGATTTCTTAGCTTCTATATTTGGTGGTTAAACTGTGCTCCTTCCAGCATAGTTTGTCTACCTACAGCTCTCACCTGTAGCTTCTAGAAGCTGTCAGCATGCCACAGCAGCCACAGGAAGTGGTTTCAACTGGCTGGCTAAACCAGGTGAGGGTAGCCAATGGCTCTCAAATGCTTGGTGAGTTAGGGACTTCCCCTGGGTGCAAAGACAGGCTCCAGGATGAGTGGATGAGACCCAAAGTGGGTCCAACGGTCAAGAAGGCAATTTCTGCACATACTGTAGAGGGAAGTGAGGGGCAGGTGGGGTTCATCCACCTGGGAAGGTAGCCCATCTAGGAGAAGGAAAACTCTGATCCTAAACTGCTGCCATGTGGCTATATGTATTGGCGCTGTGGTCTAAACCACTGAGCTTCTTGGGCTTGCCGATCGTAAGGTTGGCGGTTCAAATCCTCGCGATGGAGTGAGCTCCCATTGCTCTGTCCTGGCTCCTGCCAACCTAGCAGTTCGAAAGCACACCAGTGCAGGTAGATAAATAGGTTCTGCTGTGGCGGGAAGGTAAACTGCTTTTCCGTGCGCTCTGGTTTCCGTCACGGTGTTCCATTGCTCCAGAAGAAGTTGAGTCATGCTGGCCACATGACCCGAAAAGCTGTCTGTGCACAAACGCTGGCTCCCTTGGCCTGAAAGTGAGATGAGCACTGCAACCCCATAGTCGCCTTTGACTGGACTTAACCATCCAGGGGTCCTTTACCTTTTTGCATTGGCGAATAAGAGTTTAGGACCAAACCCCAAGAAAAAATCCTCCCCCACTCAGTGGCATCACAACAGGGGGCACTGCGCCCCAGGTGCCAAATCGGGGGGGGGGGTGACAAGAAGGCACCCTGCGGCGGCTCGTGGTAGCACAAGCAGCCATCATGCCGCCACAGCCACATGTGGAGGATCCTCCATTCGTGGCTGTAGCAGTGATGGAGGGATCCCACCACCGTCTGTACAGCACTTGAGCGGCGCCAGCAACAAACCACTATGTACAGAGCATGTGCGGCGTCATTATGTACAGCACATGCATGCAATGCTGCGAGCAAAGGATCCCGGCACCGTCTGTACGGCGCTGGAGCAGCGGTGCTGGCAAACCACTATATACAGCGCATGTGCAGCTTCGCTATGTACGGCGCATGCATCGTACGTAGCAACGCCGCACATGCACCCTATGTAGCGATGCCCCACCCCAGGTGTCACAACACCTTCATTTGCCCCTGCCCCCACTGCCTTGCAGGACATCTTTGGGAGAAGAAAAAGCTACGGAGTGAGCCATACACAAATCTTCTGGAGTGGAGTCTCTAAACAGATGGATGGCATCTTGCATGCCTCCTGGCAATTCCTGTAGCCAAGCTGGTTCCCAGTGTATTGCTCTGCTTTCCTTTGGACTACATTAGTGAGGCCGAGTGAGGGGGAGCTTGTCGTTTGGACAGCCCAGGAATACATACACACTGCCCAGGCTTGCTCCACAAGGAGGTCACTTCGGTGCTGCTATCGCAGTGAGAACAATGTGAAAGGCAGCAGCTACAAGTTTAACTTCACCCCCAGATGAAACAAATAAAAATAAAAATCCTTCCAGTAGCACCTAAGGTAAAGGTAAAGGTACCCCTGCCCGTACGGGCCAGTCTTGCCAGACTCTAGGGTTGTGCGCTCATCTCACTCTATAGGCTGGGAGCCAGCGCTGTCCGCAGACACTTCCGGGTCACGTGGCCAGCGTGACAAGCTGCATCTGGCAAGCCAGCACAGCACACGGAACGCCGTTTAAGCGGTCCCTATTTATCTACTTGCACCCGGGGGTGTTTTTGAACTGCTAGGTTGGCAGGCGCTGGGACCGAACGGCGGGAGCGCACCCCGCTGCGGGGATTCGAACTGCCGACCATGCGATCGGCAAGTCCTAGGCGCTGAGGTTTTACCCACAGCGCCACCTGCATCCCTAAGTAGCACCTTAGAGACCAACTAAGTTTGTTATTGGTATGGCCTTTCGTGTGCATGCACACTTCTTCAGATACCCCAGAAACTCACTCCATTGTCTCTCAAGACAGACAGATGCCAACACATACACACACACACATTTTAATAGGAGGACACATAGGTAACTTGGGAAGTCTAATAAAATGGGCTACCAGGTTTGCAGCTGCTCACCATTGCCTGTTTAAGCTGCAAGATCACTGATCTAAAAAGTGTTAGGAAAAACTGAAATTTCACAGTTCTGCCCAAATGCTTTGTCTGGCACTTAATTTTTCGGAGGCGGCAGCACCCTCTGTATGTTTCTGAAAGCTACATTGTCCCTCCTCTTCTGCTGCCTCTTTCCCACTGATCTCATCCTTTTGTGCGTTTTTTTTGGTTGTCTCTCATTACATCTCATAGCCCAAGTAGGTAAGGAAATGACAAAAGGAGCTCCATCAACATTGCATGTTGCCTTTTTAGTCTAAGACAGCATGAGTGGAGATAGGACAGGATTGGACTGCAACGTCGGAAAGATCTTACAGCTCCCATTATAGTGCAGGGAGCTTCAGTTCTGCCCTGAACAGCTGTCAGCTGAACAATCACAACGATAAAGAGAGTATATTATATTTAACATAACAAGGTCTTAACAGTAACCAGCATGATGCCACTACTGGCTGTGGAATTTCATTTATTTATTTATAATCTGCATTGAAGTCGGAACAGCTGAAAGGAGATGCAATTTATCTGGGTTTTCGGGTAGTTAATTGCATCGCGAGTGACACACTATCCTTGGTTAAAGCACATTAAATGTGACACAGGGGTTGGACAAACAAGAAAGCTGGCTAGAGTGCTACAGCTTGATCCATAATACGTTTTCACACAAGGCAATCCCCACTGAATTTAGGATTGAGGCTAAAGAAGCCCCTCTTGCATGTGGTTTTTTTTGTATCGCGTATGAAAACAGGAGAGAATTTGGAAGAACAAAATGAAACTCAAGATCTCGGCTAATGCGGGTTTTGCTTTCGCATTAGGGGTTTTATAGCAAAGCTGATTTAAACTTTGCTGGGAAATTGATGTTGGGCTCAGTGAATCAACAGGCCCAGCCCTCGCTCAGAATAGCCCTTGTGTGTCTAGATTGTAAATCAGATATGACAGCCTTCCACCTTCTTGATTTTGGGGGGGGGGTGCTCAAAACTCTGTGGGACACAGTGTTCTAGATTTAGAAATCAAGAATGTACGCCCAAGCTCTCTTAAAAGTTAAAGTTAACCTGCATTAAGTGATTTGAAGGGGGCACTTCTCCTTAAAGTGAAGGCAGACCTAAGCGGTAATCCAGTACCTGGGAGTAATTAAGTTCTGTTGAATTTTTCATTTTTAATTCATTGATTAATTTATCTCCTTTGGAAGATCAGGATACTGTCCAGCTGATGCTAGGTAGAATTCCACACTGTGTGCCACAAAAGGTCTGGGAAGTGGACATAACAATGGACACTAATATGGGCCTTTTTAATGTCAAAATAAAAGAGAAGCACATTTAGTAGTGGTTATTTAGGAGTAATAGATAAGGGAGAAGCGTTGTGGCCCAGCAGATAATGTGGATCTAGCCCATGGGTAGGCAAACTAAGGCCCTCCAGCCCATTTGCCTTCTAAATTGCGGACCGTCCAGAAATCAGCATGCTTTTACATGAGTAGAATGTGTCCTTTTATTTAAAATGCATCTCTGGTTTATTTGTGGGGCCTGCCTGGTGTTTTTACATGAATAGAATGTGTCTTTTTATTTAAAATGCATCTCTAGCTTATTTGTGGGGCATAGGAATTTGTTCAGATTTTTTTTCCAAAATATAGTCCGCCCCTACACCAAGGTCTGAGGGACAGTTCACGGCTCACGGCTGAAAAAGTTTGCTGTCCCCTGACTGAGCTGGGTCCAATATTAGAGCCTTTTGTCTCTGTGCTCTGCTTCTAAGTTTGATTCATATGTTTGCTTGCTTATTTACTCTTTTTCTTCTTTCTCTTTCTCTTTCTCTTTCTCTCTCTCTCTCTCTCTCCCTTTTGAGCAGGAGCCAATCAGTGAGCAGAACTTTGATGCGTACGTCAACACCCTTACTGACATGTACACGAACCAGGAATGCTACCAAAATCCTGAGAATAAGGATCTGCTGGAAAGCATCAAACAGGCCATTAAAGGAATTCAGGTCTAATTACAGTGGGACAAAGAAGAAAAATAGGGGGGGGGATAAAAAATTTAAAAAAGAAGACGTTAAAAGTAACTGGAAGGACCTTCACTCTGCATATTCAGGTTTACAAGTTAGGAAACTTGTTGAATGAATGAATAAAAGGACCAAAACTTAACCAAGAGGCCATTCACAAGAAGCAGAACTGAACTCAAATGTTTTCGTTTACGCAGTGGCGTTCCTTTGGCAAACTGTGGGGCTTTGTTTCGTTTTTATTTTTCACCACATTACCGTGTGGTGGTGGGAGTCAAAGATGGTGTTGGGAGCAGATGGAGATCAACGGTCTTCACAAGCTGCTAGACACCTCCACCATCAAAGAAAGTTCCATAATAGAATTAGTCCCAGGTTTAGAGCATTCAAAGAACAGGGCTTCTGTCTGCGCCGCAACGAGCTCCACAACCCTGTATCGCTTATGGTCATGTTCCCAAGATAACACATGATTGATGTGGCATGTTGTAGTACATGAGATGCAGGAGCTGCAGGCAAGCCACCCATCTGAATCTGCTGGATACGAGAACTCAAGTATTCTAGAGTAGCATTATTTTTTATTTTCTGAAAGAGCAGCTCTGGGTCTCCAGTAGAAAGCGCAATGGAAAAAAAAAATACAAAAGGTTCTCAGGGAAGCTTTTTTTGGAGTTTGCAACTACAGTATTCCTTTGTCCGTATTAAAAAAAAAAAAAGATAATAGCTATTAATGAACAGACCAATATTGGAACATTTCGTATGGAAGAATTCTAAATGTGTCATGGTCCAGTGTACATGAGTTTGGAAAGTCCTTTTGCTGACCGTTCTGGTTCTGTTTGTTGTCGTGGTCATCGTTGCGTAGCTGCACAGCGCTGCAGACATCCATGCCGGAGACATGTATACGAAGCGATTAGGAACAAAAGGAAGTCTACAAGGAGTATTTACTCTTGGCTATGGACTTTGGCTCATAATACATGGCAATGTTTCTTGGTTCTGAGCTTTGTTTTCTACATTTTTTTTTAAAAAAATAAGTTTAACAAAACAGAGTGATCACCATTCTACAGAAGGAACAGTTGGGTATAGATCTTCCAAAGAACCACTTTGTTTTGTTCTGTTATTACCCCTTTGGTACACATAGTCCGCTGTGCACTTAAAAGAACTACAGTGAAGTGAATGTCTTTTGCAAAAACAAATTTCTTCAGCACCTCATTCGTCCACATTATGTATTGCTGGATTTGTTTGAGGAGGGAAGAGTGGCGGGGGAAGACGCCAACATTGATTCCGTGTGTGGATTCTCAAATTCTCCCCTAAGTCAAGGAAATGAACTTTCTAAACTTCTCCATTAGCTGTTGGCCAAATGTAGGTCACTGGTGCCATCTTAGTGCAGAGGGGTTATGGCGGAGAACGAAAAATCACAAACTCCCCATATTTGTCTGCCCTGTACTGGTTGACTAGGGGACATTCCACATCTTGCCACCAGGTCCAATCCAAAATGCAGGAAAATATAGCTCTGAAGGGTGAGGAAGCGTCTCTTATCTCCCCCTTTTCTGCTCTTGCCTCTTTCTACAGGTCCTCAGTTTGTGAACTGTGGTCTTGGCATATCCAAAAGCCGGGAAATGTGTTAGATTAAAAATTGAACACGATAAAAGTATTAACTATTCTGCGAGATGGCATATTCTGGTGCTGAAATCTCCCTTCTCTCGGCAATAATTTAGTTTCCGCAACTAAACCCCCCGATAACTTCTAAATATATTTTCTAGCCAGCTTAAGATGGCCTCGGTCAGGTCTTTCCCTGAAAACAAAAAGCAAAGAAGAAGAAGTCCGGGCTTCATTGAAGTGAATGACAAAGCTTGTTGATTCTGTGAGAAGAAGGGCTGATATCGAAATAGCCTCCATGTGTACAGCTGAGTTACCTCCTCCTGCACACACACATGTGTGTGTGCCAGTTTTTTTTTCTTGTGTTGCCCCTTCCAACACCCCAAATTCTGCTCCCGATGGTCCCCCAATCTTCAAGAGTGGCTTTGGGAGGAATGTGAGGGACTACAGTGGGAAGGTGGGAACGATAAATATTCACCCGCCCGTGGAATGCTACATGCCTTTTAGAGCATTTTCATAGGTGAGCTTTTGAGCCTCTTCTCTTGATATATGAATACTTGGTCATTGCTACAGCAGAAGCGAAAATGTAGAAGAGGCACTTGTAGTGCAAATGATCAATCTGGCCAGTGTAGGTTTTTATATGCCGGCTACATGCCTGATAGAAACAAGAACCACTTTAAAGTCTCGGTATGAAAATGCCTTAAAAGCCTAGTCCTGCATATACTTAGGCTATAAACTAAAACCCTTTGAAGTCTATGAGAGAACTCCAATGGAGAAGGGGCGGAATACATATTGGTGACTTTACTCATATGCTTAACTTACTCATCTGAGTAAATTCACTTGGGCGCTAGAGAGGATCACAGCATTGGGCCCTTTGACTTGGCTTATTTATACAACCCATGGAAAGTGCAAAAAAAAACGAAAGAAGGAAAAAATAAGTATTAAAAAAAGACAATGCTTTTAATATGTAAATATAGTCCAATTTGATGGTGATTGCAGCTCATTTAGTATTTCAGAGTAGAGAACTTGCACTTCCTTTAAAGAAAAAGAAGGGTTGGGGGGAAAGTAGATAGCTGAATTATTCTGTAAATTATTTAAGGGTGCATCCAAATGCACATCCTTTGAGTGGTGCAACAGCTGTGGAAGGGCACTCACTGTGTTTTGACTATATGTACAATCTTCTCCAGAGAATAGAGCTGTAGGGAAAAGCAGTTTCTACCAGTCTGCAGCAAAGGCCAGATACGCATAGTGCTGACTGGCTTGTGCCTGTAGCGTCAAGAACCCACCTCCTCAAATCATTTTTCTCTAATCTTTTTAAAAAATAGAGCGTGTCCATCCTTCTGTTTAAAGCACTGATCAAATGGTAGATTGGACAAAACTGCAAGTGGTGCTTTTAAAACTAAACATTTTCAGAGTCAACCAATCGACTGTAGCATGGGAAGTTAGAAAACAGATTCGCTGATAAATACTAGGCCTGTCAAAAGCATTGGGAGTTGGGTTTACATAGCAGGAGGCAGGGAAACACAGTGAGTCATATTTCTGTATGCACCCTAATTTTGGGAAATGTGTGTAATTTGTATTCGCAACACCTTATTTTATTTTTTGACTATTTATTGAATCATTTTTAATTTATTAAATTTATACTTCTGTTGAAGCTGGACATCACATCATGAGAAAGGAAAAGGAGGCAGGAAAAAATAATCCCTGAAAGAAATACAACTTTTTGATCAATAAAACAATAATATTTCCCTCTAAGAAGAAATAAAAAAAAATCTAACTTTCGCGTGTAATTTTGATGCAACCAAGTTATTTTTATATATTTTTGTTATTTATTCTTTTAACAATGGGAATTTTTTTAAAGATATTTTATAACTGAAGCGCTTTTTTAAAAAAAGTTTTTTGTTTGATTTTATTTTGGGTGGGGACAAAATGCAGAAAAAGAGAGAGCGAGAGAGAGAGAGAGAGAGATTCCTTTTCTTCGTTTGTTTTTGTTATTCTTTTGTCTTCTCGACGATCCTATTGTTTCAGGCACTGATAACGGTTTTAAAAAAAATTAAAACATGTAATTTATTATTTATTTAATATTTAAATTAAACATAAAAAAATTGATCTGTGCTCTTGTTGTATATTTATTTCGTCATGTTTGTGTGTCGGTTATGTGATGGCTGAGTAATTGTTTATGTGAAGGAATACTGTTCATATTTAAATAATAAAGAATCACATTGGAAAAAAAGGAACTGCAGGCTACATGTTCTTCTGTGAAAGAAAGAAAAAGAGAAAGCAAATTTAATACTGTTTCTCTGCTCAAGAAATACATTCCACAAATGAGACTTGACTGAATGGATTTCCAGGAGCTCTGCTGAATCGGATGAAAGGTCTAGCTAGTTCAGCAGCTGTTTCCTGGGAACTGTAGTCTGTTAAGGGTGCTATGAATTGTAGCTATGCAGTAAGTACGCTATAGTTCCCAGGATTTGGGGGGGGGGCTGGGCACACATACAGTCAAACCTTGGTTCTCGAACAGCTCCGTTTTCAAACATTTTGGCTCCCGAATGCAGAAAACCAGGAAATGCTCCGGTTTTCAAACGAATGAAAAACTGAATGGTTTTTAGGAACCTGAATGCCTGACGCGGCTTCCATTTTGAGTTTCCCTATATGAACTGAGGCTTCCGTTTTCAGTTTTCGAATGTTTCATAAGTCCAATGGTCTTCTGGAATGGATTATGTTCGAAAACCGGGGTTCCACTGTACCAACATTTCTCCAGTGAAAATAGGGACATCACATTCCAATACAATTTTGCAATTTATACCCCACACATCTTATTGGGTTACCCCAGCACTCTGGGCAGCTTCCAACCTATATAAAAACATAATAAAACAGTAAACTTTTTTTTAAAAAAAACAAAACACTTCCCTATACAGGATTACCTTCAGATGGCTCGGGAGTTGGATAACTCCATACCCGCCAACATTTCTACGATGAAAATAGGGACATTCCGGGATCAAATCAGAAACCGGGACGGCTTCTCTAAATCAGTGACATTCCTGGAAAATAGGGACACTCAGAGGGTCTGGAGACAGCTGAGGTGCATGTGGGAAGCCTGAAAGCTGTGCATGAGTGTGCAAATGGCCCTCTCCCACAGTCATTCCCACAAAAGAAGAGAAGAGTTTTGATACCCTGCTTTTTCACTACCCTAAGGAGTCTCAAAGAGGCTAAAAATCTCCTTTCCCTTCCTTACAGCAAACACTCTGTGAAGTGAGTGAGGCTGAGAGACTTCAGAGAAGTGTGACTAGACCAAGGTCACCCAGCAGCTGCATGTGGAGGAGCGGGGAAGCGAACCCCGTTCACCAGATTACGAGTCCACCGCTCTTAAGCACTACGCCACGCTGGCTATTCAAAGGGATGCTACATCAAACATGGAGGCAGTACAGTGGTACTTCGGGTTACAGGCGCTTCAGGTTACAGACTCCGCTAACCCAGAAAGAGTACCTCAGGTTAAGAACTTTGCTTCAGGATGAGAACAGAAATCGCGTGGTGGCGGCAGTGGGAGGCCCCATTAGCTAAAGTGGCACCTCAGTTTCTGGTTAAGAGCGGACCTCCAGAATGAATTAAATTCTTAACCCGAGGTACCACTGTATATGATCAGTAGCCACTGATAGCTTCTTTTGGCATCAATTAGAACCTTTGCTAAAATTGCGTTCAGCACTCCACAGCCGGCCTCCTGTTCCCCCTGACGGTAGGGAACACTGGGGGGACGGGACACAAAAAATATTGGGTGAAAAATGCTCGGCCCCTTGGAGTTGGTGCCCCCCAACATAATTAGGTCTGCAGAATCCAAGGTTTCCTCAATGATGGATCTTTGCGGTTTTGCACCCCCTCTGCTCAGGGCCCTATGGGAGGAGGAACTGCCCACATCACCACCCTAAATCCATCGCTGCTTCCAGGAGATGCTGGAGGCTGAAATTGGGACCACCTGCATGCAAGACGGATGCTCTCCTACTGAGCAATGACACTTGCCCAATAAGATGCCTAGGGGAAACCCACAAAGCACGACATGTATGTTGTTCCTAACGGGGCAAATTGCAGCTGGTGGGAAGGAAGGGAGTTTCAACTGAGAAACCAGGGAGGGAGGGAGAGTTAACCCTACCTACCCCGCTGTGGGTCAAACCACAGAGCCTTGAACTTGCCAATTAGAAGGTTGGCAGTTCGAATCCCCGCAACAGGGTGAGCTCCCGTTGCTCCGTCCCTGCTCCTGCCAACCTAGCAGTTCGAAAGCACGTCAAACTGCCAAGTAGATAAATAGGTACCGCTCTGGCGGGAAGGTAAATGGCATTTCCGTGCGCTGCTCTGGTTCTCCAGAAGCGGCTTAGTCATGCTGGCCACATGACCTGGAAGCTGTACGCTGGCTCCCTCGGCCAGTAAAGCGAGATCATAGAATCATAGAGTTGGAACATACCACAAGGGCCATCGAGTCCAACCCCCTGCCAAGCAGGAAACACCATCAGAGCACTCCTGACATATGGTTGTCAAGCCTCTGCTTAAAGACCTCCAAAGAAGGAGACTCCACCACACTCCTTGGCAGCAAATTCCACTGTCGAACAGCTCTTACTGTCAGGAAGTTTTTCCTAATGTTTAGGTGGAATCTTCTTTCTTGTAGTTTGGATCCATTGCTCCTTGTCCGCTTCTCTGGAGCAGCAGAAAACAACCTTTCTCCCTCCTCTATATGACATCCTTTTATATATTTGAACATGGCTATCATATCACCCCTTAACCTCCTCTTCTCCAGGCTAAACATGCCCAGCTCCCTTAGCCGTTCCTCATAAGGCATTGTTTCCAGGCCTTTGACCATTTTGGTTGCCCTCCTCTGGACACGTTCCAATTTGTCAGTGTCCTTCTTGAACTGTGGTGCCCAGAACTGGACACAGTACTCCAGGTGAGGTCTGACCAGAGCAGAATACAGTGGCACTATTACTTCCCTTGATCTAGATGCTATACTCCTATTGATGCAGCCCATAATTGCATTGGCTTTTTTAGCTGCTCAGCTTTTTTAGCTGAGATGAGTGCTGCAACCCCAGAGTCGGCCATGACTGGACCTAATGGTCAGGGGTCCCTTTACCTTTACCCCTGCAGGACAGTGGTGCTGATGTGTCCCAGGGGGTCTCTGCAGCTGGTTTTTAAAGAGATGAGGAATCTCACCATAGCTCTCCAGCATCTCTAGTCTACTTTGGCCCTAAACTAAACATTTTATTGAAAGAAACAAATGGAATGCAGCTGCTTGTCCAAGATCTTCAAGGTGCTTACCCCACCGTTCCTGTTTTTCCACCACCAGCAGCAAAAAGCTAATACTATTCTAGGCTGCATTCACAGAAGTATAGTGTCCTAATCAAGGGAAGTCGTAAAGGTAAAGGGACCCCTGACCATTAGGTCCAGTCGTGGCCGACTCTGGGGTTGCGGCGCTCATCTCGCTTTACTGGCCGAGGGAGCCAGCGTACAGCTTCCGGGTCATGTGGCCAGCGTGACTAAGCCGCTTCTGGCAAACCACAGCAGCACACGGAAACGCCGTTTACCTTCTCGCCAGAGCGGTACCTATTGATCTACAGTGGTACCTTGGGTTAAGAACTTAATTCGTTCTGGAGGTCTGTTCTTAACCTGAAACTGTTCTTAACCTGAAGGACCACTTTAGCTAATGGGGCCTCCCGCTGCTCCCGCGCTGCTGGAGCACGATTTCTGTTCTCATCCTGAAGCAAAGTTCTTAACCCGAGGTACTATTTCTGGGTTAGCAGAGTCTGTAACCTGAAGCGTATGTAACCTGAAGCGTATGTAACCCGAGGTACCACTGTACTTGCACTTCGTGCTTTCGAACTGCTAGGTTGGCAGGAGCAGCGACCAAGCAACGGGAGCTCACCCCATTGTGGGGATTCA